TCTTTGCAATGTTACCCAAAATTCGTTATGATCCACACAGAAGAATGCCTTTGCATAGTTAATAAAACACAGGTAAACATCTTTCTGTTATTCTTTGCTTTCAGCCAAGATCCATCTGACATTAGCAGTGATATCCCTGATTCCACTCTCTTGAATCTGGCTTAAATTTCTGACAGTTCCCTGTCACTGTACTGCTGCAACCATTTTTAATTATTTCAGCAAAATTTGACTTGTTGTGAAATTAATGTTATTGTTCAATAATTTCCACATCCTGTAGGATCACTTGTCTTTGGAATGGACATAAAGAAGGATCTCTTCCAGTCTTTTGACCATGTGGCCATGTAGCATAAATGAGTGAGCAACTCCAGCACTGCATCTGTTTGTGGAAACATCTCATGAGTATTTCGTCAATTTCTGGAGTTCTGTTTTTCACCAGCTCCTTCAGTGCAGCTTGGACGTCTTCCTTCAATACTGTTCTTGATTATATGCTACCTATTGTAATGCTTCAACATAGACCACATCTTTTTGATACAGTGACTCTGTGTATTCCTTCCATGATCTTTTGATGCTTCCTGCATCATTCAATATTTTGCCCAAAGAATCTTTCAGTATTGCAACTCAAGGGTTTAATTTTTTTTTTTTTTTTTCAGTTCTTTCAACTTGAGAAATGCCAGATATATTCTTCCATTTTGTTTTTCTAATTCCAGGTTTTGCTCATTTCATTATAATACTTTACTTTGTCTTCTTGTACTGCCCTTTGAAATCTTCTGTTTAACTCTTTTATTTCATCATTTCTTCCATTTACTTTAGCTACTTACTTACTTACAAAAGCAAGTTTCAGAGTTTCTTCTGACATCCATTTTGTTTTTGGTTTTATTTCCTGTCTTTCAATTACCTTTTGCTTTCTTCATGTATGATGTTTTTGATGTCCTCTCACAACTTGTCTGGTTTTTGGTCATTTGTACTCAGTATTTCAAATCTGTTCTTCAGATGGTCTCTAAATTCAAGTGGGATATAATTAAGGTTGTATTTTGGCTCTTTTGAACTTGTTTTAATTTTCTTCAGGTTCAACTTGAGTTTGAATATGTGCAATTGATTCTCTATTGCACAATTAGCTCATGGTCTTATTCTTACTGATGACATTGAGCTTCTCCATAGCCTTTTTCCACAGATGTAGTTGACCTGATTCCCATGTATTCCATCAGGCGAAGTCCACATGTGTAGTTACTGTTCATGATGTTGACGAGAGGTGTTTGCAATACCTTTCTGACTATCTCTTGGAAAGTCATTTCTATCCCTTTATTGTTGTCATGGTACTGTGGAATTTCAATAATTCGAATGTTAGATTTCTTAATTGAAACCCATGTATCCTTTTGGGTTTGTTTACTTTTCTTTATTCTTTTCTCTTGTTTCTCTTAAGAGCTGATAAAATCAGTTATTTAGTATTGTATCTTCTAGTTTATTTATTTATTCTATCTTCTGTCTGTTTGACTCTTGTTGAGTGTTTCTCCTGCTTTTTCTAATTCAGTTGTTTTAGTCTTTAGTTCCATTAGTTCCTTGTGTGTTTTTTTTAAACATGTTTTCAGTTTCTTTGTTTTTTCTCTCATTTTGTTCCTCCATTTGTTTCCTGATCTTTGCTATTTTGTTTTCTGTATGCTCTTTGCTGTCTTTACACATATTTAGCACCCAATATGAAAATTTTCCAATTTTTTTATTAGTTTGGCCTCCATAACGGAAATTTCCTCTTCACATTTTGCTTTTGATTGGTCCTTCTTCTTTTGTAATTTTGCGTGTTTTACTATTTTTTGTTGAACTTGGGCCATTTTATTTCTATCTAACTGATTGCAGGGAGCTCTGGTAGTGTAGTGCCTAAGGCATTTGACTGCTACCTGAAGGCTGGCAGTTCAAACCCATCAGCCACTCCTCAGAAAGAAGGTTGGGCAATCTACTTCCATAGTGATACTGCCTCAGAAACCCAAGGAGGGGTCACTATGCGTCGGGTCTGACTCAATGGCACATAACAACAACAACAGCAACAACTGATTGCACATGAGGTTGACCATCTTTTCATGTGCTGATTGACCTTCTGTGAATGGTTTATTTTTATCTATTGTCCTTTTCTTAATGAGTCATTTGTCTATTTCTTAGATTTATAGATGCTATTTTCATATTCTAGACACTAGTACCTCATCAGTTATTTGAGGTTTGGTTTTCACTTTCTTCGAGGTATCTTTTTGCTGTTGTTACAACAGAAGTTTTTAATTTTAAAGTAGTTAAATTTATCTATCTTTCCTTTGCATTTCTTTTTCTTCTTCTTTTAAAAATCTTTTCAGAGATCTTTTCCTACCCTTATGTCATGAAGATTTTTTCTGATATTTTTCTCTAAATGATTTAAAAACTTTAATGTCTAAGCCTTGGATTCCACTGAAAATTCATGTTTCTACACGATGTTGTATATAGCTCTACCTTCATTCTTCTTCTATGGTAAATAGCCAGTTTCTCAGTATCATGAACTAACTTCTACATCCTCCCATCACAGGTGTAATGCTACCCTAGTCACAAGCAAATAACTATATATACAGGGTCTGTTTCTTTGATCTCTTTCCTCAAAGCAATGTTCCTAGATTTATTGGAGCCAATCTTTACTGATCTCACTTCTACTTTTACAGCATCCAGGCATATATGGTTTCATAGTTAAATTCTAGCAATTTTTCAGAGAATACATAATCCTTATTTTATGCAAATTATATTAGATCATTGAAAAAGAGGAAAAAGCTACCCAATTTATTTTATGATTCTAATATAACCTTTATACCAACACTGGTATTTCTGGCCTTCCCTAATACCAGAGAGAAAAATTATAGGGTCTAACCTCATTTTTTAAAATAAATTTAAAAATCCTAAATTAAATGCTAGTAAGACTGAATATAGCAATGTGTAGTAAAACAAGTGGATGCAAAATGTCCAAGAATGGGCTAATTAAAAAAAAAAAATTAATATAATTTATCCATAACAGGATAAAGGAGGGAAATGATATATTTTTTTCCCCATAGTTCCAGAAAAGCACTCGGTAAAATTCAGTAACCATAAATGATTAAAAAATATAAAACTCTTAGAAAACTTGGCATTGAAACAAACATCCTTAACCTGATAAAAAAACATGTACCGAAACCTATTGCAAACATACACTTAGTACTGATCCCTTGTAGTGCTGTGGTATTGAGTTTCCTCTTTGCATCTGGTTCCTGAGAATTTTTCTATTTTTATTCTTGGGTTTTACTTTAAATAACTGTGTATGTGTTTATATGTATACATACTTATGTACATGTATGTGTATATATACTCACACACACATTACCTATTTTTTAAATTAATATTTTATCTAGATACATTTTATTGAGTGTTTGTCTATGTTTGTGGAGTAAGAAGATACACAAGCTCACAGCCATGGTGATGCTCTCCCTTGTCCATGTTCTGGGCCTAAGGACTGATGGACCCCAGAGACCACTACAGAGGGGTCAGAGTAATTGGACTGCCATAGAGCTGGTTTCTTTCCTAGACTGAGGAGTTCTCATTATTCACAATTTCATATCCTGGCTTCTTCTAAGAAAGCCATTAAGAATGAATCTGATGAGGATAAATATATTTTATGAAACTTTCTATGACTCTGTTTTACAACTGGGTAAAATAAAGATAATCTACTGCCATAAAACTTACTAAGGATTTGATATTTTCATGCTTCCTACAGTGATATGGGAAATACAAAGAGTACTATTAGTCATAACTTTTCCATCACTGTCATGCTTATATCTAACAGCTTCAAAACATTTTTTAATGTGCTTCTAAGGGTTGAAGGTAGGGAGAAGGACATATTTCTTGGGAGCACTTTTCATGGTAGCAAACAAATTTTTCTAAATCTTTCTGTCAACAACTGTTTACAAACAAGGGATTCCAGTGACTATGAAAACCAGTACAGGGCCTAGCCTAGCAATGCTGAACACAAAGAACAATCAATAAATTCTTGACTGTAAGGTCATGTATAGTAAATAAGGCAGTTCCGATGCCAAATCAATACTGAATTGTGTATTTCTTACAGCACATATTGAGATATAGATCTGCTCTAGTGGGAACAGGAATGTCATCTGGAAATACCAGTTCAGACAAATCTGGGCTACCACCTCCAGGGAAAAAGCTGGATTGATTGTGGTCTGTCTAACTTCTTGGTGAAAATGTCAGGTCAGAAGTGAATATTCATGTGTTGTAGTCCTTGAAAAGGGAGATGGAGAAATCAATAAGCTAAACATCTACCTAATAATGGAACTGTTGTCCCCAAGGCAAGCTCTCTTTTCTTGAATTTGGTTTTTTCAGCCCCTGATAGGTGTGTAATGCTGTCTTACAGATTCAACAAAATACTTCATAGAAAATCTAACAGCAGATTCCATAGTTTTAGAATAACAGTTATGTTAACATGGTTCTAATTGGAAGTCCAGTTAAAATTAAATAAAATTTTCCTTAATTCCAAAGAACATGCTAGATTCTTTGAAGCAGTCATGGCAAGAAAATACCAGGCAAAAAAGAAATTCCATATTTTTAGTCCTACTTTACAATTCCCTTGTCCTGTGATCTTAAAAAATCTACTCAATATCTCTATGCATGTGCATGTATGATAATGTATTTTCTTTGTATGGGTGTTGCACAGGCTATCACAAATGACATAAATATTTTGGCAGGTGAAATCAGATTATGAAGGTAGTAGTTTCTCCCAAATCTTAATTTTAGAGTTTATCTAAATATAATAGACTCTCTTCTCCACACTGTACTCAGGAAGTCTCCCAGCATTCAAGTACCTAATATTTAAGCAGAGCCCCTCCTCTTTTTCCAAAATCAACTTGTCAGCATTGGCTAAGCTTCAAGAGCATAGTAGGTTCATGACCCATTGGCGTGGGTTTTGAATGGAAACCAAATGAATTATTTTTATTGTTTGTTTCTACATCTTCCAGGCACCTTTTAAAAATGAACAAGAGCAGCTCTGATTTGGAAAAAGTGAGTCAGGGCTCAGCAGAGAGCCTCAGCCCATCCTTCAGGGGCATCCACGTCAGTTTCACCACTGGATCCACAGACAGCCTGGCCTCGGACTCCAGGACCTGCAGTGATGGAGGTAACAGATTTGACTGGAGACTTATGATTTCCTTGGTCTGCTAGGCCAGTTCTGGGTTCATTGTTGGGATTTAGAAGGCAGAGGTAGACCTTCTATCTTAGTTCTGCTGTCCCCATGGTCTAAACTCCAACGACACCACTGAAGTTATTTCTCTATTGAGTTTATGATAAGCTTCCTTGCCCCTTATTGTCCTCTCCAATTAAGCAACATAGCAACAGGGTGGGAGGAGGATAAGATCTAAAGCATATTGAAGGGTCTTGCTTCCTTAGTTAGTAGGCCATCCACATACAGGTCTTCTCTCTTCATTTCTGTCACCATACATGGCTGGGTGCAAACCAACCACAAGTTCTCACCATCTGCGTTTCCTCTCTTGCTCTCTCTCAAACACACATATGCCCATGCACACACACATACATACACATACTTGGATGCAACAGACGTTTATATGAATGTCTGTTGAATTGGAGGCCTGGAGGCTTCATTAGGCCACTGTCCATAACATTTTTTGGAATTAAGTTGTAAGGCATAATTTGTGGATATATCCTGATTGGACATATTCCTAAAAGGAGATTCTTGTTTTTCTGTAGTTTGTGTCCTAAATGGATAGTATTTTAAACTTCTCACCCTTTCAACATTCCTTTGAGTGTGTGCCCTCTCCTGTGTTTCTTTTAGACATGATATAGTGTGGTAGGTTTCAACATGTGCTAGCATGACTTCCTTTCTACTCTAATGGAACTATTTCTTCTCAGTAGGCAGTTTTGTAGTAGAAGATTCCATTGTAAATTTACTGTCACCAACATTTTTCTACCTCATTGGTGGACAATGGCTAAGACAGAAAAGTGTGTTATATGTCGGTCTGTGGTATGCTTTGATGGCACACCTCTGATTGCTGTGGCTTAAAAACAGGAAATATAATTAGTCTTGATTTTGAAGGAAAGGTGGCAAAAGAGAAGTTTCTTTGTACAGAGTTTAGTGGGCTTCTATCTTCTTCCTTTGCCCATTCCTTTCTGCAAAAATTCCGTGAGGCAGATAATTCCATAGAGGGTTGGACACATGAATCATTAGCCCCTATGCTGGTCAGCCCCAAACTGCCTTCTTAGGACTATGCCCAGTTCTGAGGGTGCGGTTTACAGTGGAGCACTCCACTGGGTCACCAGCCAGCAGTTATTGATGATGATGATGAGAACTAGACTTAAATGCCACACCACTTTGCATCTCAGAATAAGTAAATCCTGTTGTCTACCTTCAGGTATCTTACAGTGTAGCTGGCAAGATAGACTAAAACACATGACACATGGGTGGATGGAGAAAGGGAGGAAATTGGGCTGCTCAGAACATGAGTGCTTATAAGTTTCCAGGTGAGAGAAAGCAGTGAAGGCTGATGGAGGTTCAGAGAAGGCTTTATTCAACAACAAGGTGGGACTTCAGCTTATGTCTGAAGTATGGTTAGAATTGGGGAGTAGAGGGAGGAAGGTAGGGCTTTCCAGATTAAGGGAACAACAAAAGAGGAGCAAAGGCATGGGGAGAACAGTGTATACTGGGGAAAGGATAAGGCCAACCTGACCAACTTCAGTAAGTAGATGAGGGAAAAATGGGACGTGAGGTTGGATGGAAAGTAGGGGGCTGAAATGTAAGAGACTCTGGGGGCAGGCAATGGATCCTCAATTTGTTGAGGTAGGAGCTTTGAGAGGTTTTTGACTATAAGGGTGATACCTCACTCAGACATTTTCTCATGTTCATTTCTGATTAGAAAGTATAACTTAAAATGAATTCATGGTTTATTCTTTTATCACAAGCCAGTAATTCCTTTATCCTGAGCCAATGGAGTTTGGATTCCCAGAGCAACAAGAAGGCACCCCAGCACTGGACTCAGCCCTTAGACCAAACTGTTCTATCTGTTGCTTGTGCACATGGCTCTATACTCAGAACCATGCTTTGAAACTGGCAAGAAACTGAAGGCTTTTTTTTTAACATTTAAAAAATATTAATCTGGAGGGCAATGGTGGTTGAATGACAGAATTCTTGCATGTATGCCAGAGAACTGGGTTCAGTTCCTAGCCAGTACCCCTCAAGTGCAGCTACCACCTGTCTGTCCACGGAGGCTTGCATATTGGTATCATGATGAACAGGTTTCAACAAAGCTTCCAGGCTAAAATGGACTAGGAAGAAAAGCTTAGTGATTTACTTTGAAAATCAGCCTCTGAATACTTTGAATACCCTACAGATCATAAGGGAGGTCTGGTAGTGTAATGCCTAAGGCACTTGACTGCTAACCAGAAGGCTGGCAGTTCAAACCCACCAGGCACTCCTCGGAAGGAAGAATAGGTAATCTGCTTCCATAGAGATACTGCTTCAGAAACCTGAGGAGGAGTCACTCAGATCTACAATTGGTCATGGCCCCATGACATGCACAGTACTGGGTAGCATTTTATACTCTTGTGCATGGGGTCACTATGAGTCAGCTAAAAACAACATTGATCTGGAAAAGAAACAGACCCAATGGTTATGTGATGTGAGAAATCCTTTATTCAACTTCTCATCATTAACTAAGGCAGCATGATTTAGATCAGCTATTGAACAATTATCTTTCAGTTCCATGGGTCCTTACTCACTTTTACTTCAGAGCTGAAATATTTACCCATGATACATTTTGTTGCTATTTGGTATCCAGTACTGAAGCTGAATGAGGGGATTAGAGTAGGAGAGGTGGAAAGAGTTAAATTTGAAGTTCTTTGAAACTAGTATATAGTGCCCTTTCTTTAATATTATTTATTAAATAAGGATTTTTAGACAATAAATTTATATTATGAGTAAGAATTCACTAATTAAAACAGTATTCATATAGGCTGGCCTGTGTGAGTTGAGGACAAAATCTTTCCAGGGTATTCCATAATAGTTTGAGTAAACATCTTAGAACCTCACCAGAATTAGTGGTTAAAGTTAGTTATCTGCTATTTAAATTTTGTGGCAAAAAAGAAAACCTGTTTTAAATTTTATAAGAAAAACAAATGTAATTGACATTTTTACTTATATGTTTAAAGCAGTTTATCTAAATTTTATGTGTATAATATATCATTTATATCAATATTAATTGCACATCTTTATACCTGTATTACATTTCATATTCCTCAAAGCACATCTGTTATCCCATTTGTCCAAATGGGAAGTTCAGTTGAACAGTAAATCAACTCAGTGGAAGGAAAAATCCATCTAAGCAGTTGTTGGGATATATACTTGTTTTGGGAGGGACAGATTGCTTGTGTCAAGACAGATCCACCGAGGCTGCCAAAGGGTAGGTTATTTGTAGTGAACAAATCAATGGACAAGATAGGAAAGTGATTGGCTAAATGATCAGCCAGAAGGGTCATCAGAAGACACTTGTATTTTAAGTGGTTACTTTTAAGTATGGAAGCCTAATGTTGTATTAAGATCATAGCATGGTTAAGAACTCGGCTGCTGACCATAAGGTTGCTGGTTCAAACCCACCAATAGCTCTGCTGGAGAAAAACCTGTGATCTGCTCCCATAAAGAATACAACCAAGTAAACCCTATGGAGCATTTCTGCTCTGTCACATAGAGTCAGGAGGAGGTGAAAATCAACTCTACAGCACCCAACTACAATACCTCTTTGATTTAGGATAACATTATAATTCAATTCAGCAATTCAAAAAACATTTGTGGGTGCCAAATTCCTATAGTATAGCAAAGTTGAATGCTCTGTTGAGCTGAAACTGTTGGCACCAGCAGTAGATGTCAAACTGGACAGTGAATGCAGGTATTTATACTACACAGTTTGGTATGTTTATATACTGTAAGGGGGCAGTGGTGGTTCAGTGATAGAATTCTTGCCTTCCACATGGGAGATCCAGGTTTAGTTCCTGGGCAGTGGGCTTCATGCACAGTCACCACCCATTGAAACCCTGCATGTAATGACGAACAAGGTTCAGCAGAGCTTCCAGACAAAGATAGGTTTGGAAGAAAGACCTAGTGATCTACTTCTAATACAAAGCCAGTGAAAACCTGTGGATCAGAAATTCCAGTCCACAGCTGATAATGGGGATGGATCAGGGCTAGGCAACATGTTCTTGTGTCGTGCACAGAGTCTTCTTGAGTTGTGGGTTGACTTGAGACACCTGACAACAACAGCAACATAGACAATAAATTCACATGACTACATACAGCAGGGAGCTCTGGTAGTGTAGTGCCTAAGGCACTTGACTGCTAACCAGAAGGCTGGCGGTTCAAACCCACCAGCCACTCCCTGGAAGGAAGGTTGGGCAATCTACTTTCGTAGTAATACTGCCTCGGAAACCCAAGGAGGGGTCGCTATGAGTTGGGTCCAACTCGACGGCACACAACAACAACAACAACATACACAGCAAGTCAGGCTTATTATCGTTTTTATTTATATAGGTAACAGATTGGAGACACAAACAGTTAATTAAATATCTTGACAATATTCATCTTGTTTTTCTCAACATTAATGCCAAGCAGATTTTTTTTTTTAATTTATACATTAATTCAATTATTCATTTGATAGGTATTTGTTGAACATTAACCACATGGTGGGTACAGTTATAAATGCTGAAAACACAGCAGTGGGGGGAAAAAAATACCCAATCCCTTTTTTCATGGACTTTACATTCTAATGGGAGAGATAGACATTGAGGAAGTTAAGGAAGTAAAGTAGTTAGTGTGTCAGGTGGCAGTAGGTGCTGTAGAGAAAAATCAAACAGACAAGAGGGACAGCGGGTGCCTGTCAAGGGGACCCACAGGAAGGCCATAAAGATCAGATATCAGTCAGAGTGAGTGATAGCCCATCCTTCACCACACATGTGCTCCCCCACTCATGCTGCTACCTGAGACTCTATAAGAAGAAAGAAATACTATTTTCTAAAAAGATGTTCCTGGAAAAGACATCTAAGACCCTTTGCTTAAAAATAGCGTATTTTGTGTCTATTAAACAGACTCATTATGGCACTTACTCCTGAATTCATATA